CCCACCAGCGCTCAGGGCCCACGCAACCGTGATTCGCCGATAGTTTCCAGCGCTGACAGCCCCAGCCAGCCAGCAATTATTTGTCGAAGGTCACGTTTCGGTCAACCCGGTGCTTTAAGAAATTATGACGCCTGTCAACTGTAGCACAAATTCAGGGCAAGGCCCCTCTTTTGCCTAAGCGCGCGTGATCATTGAAAGGCATATCTGTTCTTCAAGGCCAGGCTGGTGCGCTCTGTTCCCCTGTGAGTAGCAGCAGCAACAACACGCAGAATTACTAACTTAAGAACAGCTTGTCGAACTGCAGCTAGAACCACAACCCCAACCAAATCAGCAACAAGCGTCGCAGCAGCAGCAGCAGCAGCAGAAGCAGCGACGACAATGGCAACAGCAACAGCAACAGAAAAAAACAACAGAAACAGCGGCAACGGCACCAACACCAACATCAATGCCAATATCAGTGTCATCGACGACAACATCAGGAGCAGCAGCAACCGCAGTAGCAACAACAGCAGCAGCAGCAGCCGTCGTGACAATGAAGACGGCAATAGAAACAGCAACAACGACAAGAGCAGCAGCAACAGCAAAGCATCATTAGCAGCAGCAACAAAAGCAAGAGCTACACCAACCGCAAAGGTAACAGTAGCAAGAAGCAACAACCGCAGCAACAGCAGCAACGACAATGGCGAGGACTAATTAAACCTACAAAACCAGCGGCGGCGCTGCCAGCAAAACCAACAGCCGCGCAGCGTCGACAGCGACAAACCCGAACTGCAACCACCGCAGCAACCGCGAAACGATGGCTAGCAGCAGCTGCCGCGGCTGCCTGCGAAGCCGTTAGCAACAAAAACAAAAACAACAATAGCAGCAGCAACACCAACAGCAGCAGCAACAACAATGGCAATAGCAGCTGGCCAACAACGGCAACGACAACAACAATGGCAGCGCCAACAGCAACGATAACTGCAACTGCGTCAACAAGAACAAGGGCAAGAAGAAGAACAGCAGCAGCGACATCAGCAACAGCATCCCAACGCCAGCGACAAAAACAGCAACAACAACCAAAACCGCATCAGCCGCAGCCAACAGCAGCAACATCAGCGACTTTTCATCTTCGACCGCAGTCGCGCCCGCCGCAGCCGCCATCACCACTACCATTACCACCACCGCCGTCGCCCAACAACAGCAACAACAGGAGCAGCAACAACGGCTAGCAACAGCAGTGACAGCAATAGTACCATGTTCGCAGCATTTCACGCAACCATGACAACAATGAAAAAGAACAGGCGGGGGCGGCGTGACTGAGAATCCGCCGTTTCATGGAAGAACTGCTTGCTCGCAAGGAGGCTAAGTAATTTGAAGATGCGCGCAGCTCGCGTCTAATCTGAAGCTATACCTAGAGGCACCGGCTATAACCCGACGTCGTTGCCAGCCACTTGACTGTTTCAATCACAAAGATTCTGGCGGAGCTTTGTCATGGCTGTTGTCTCTACACACAAACTGAAGAACCAGACAGACCGCAGGCACAAACAAGCAAGCAAGACACAGGCGACAGCTGCAAACAAGCAAGCAAACGGGCAAAGCACCAAAACGCTCGTGATGTGTCTGCGGTTTATCCAAAGTCTCCTGTTGCCCTTTCCTTGCTGGTGCCAGTAAACTTGCTGCCGGCAACTTGGATCGTGCGATATTCTCGCATCAGCAGCAGCAGCCCAGTAGAAGGCCCACCAGCTTTCTATGGATGGCGCAACTTGCTCAGAATCTACAAAAACAAACAAGTCAGCCCCCAGACCTAGCCCTTTCTTGCGTCTCTGCCCACGGAGAGCGGTTCGCTCTCCATACTAAAATCAAACTTTCCGCGGCGCTGATAGCCTTTACGCGTGCAAAGCGCTGGTCGGACAGCGCTGCTCAACGCAATCTCACAGCATTCTTGTCAGAACGGCCAGCCAACCCCCGATTCAGAGCCAACCCCCGAATGCCAAAAAAAATCTTTTCAGCCTCCAGCCATCTCTTGTCATCCAAGCCTTTGGGAAATACATTTCAGGACTTTGGCCAGGTCATCAGGCTGGCTTGTGTTGGACCGCCTCATTGCCAGCTAAAGGCAGCTTGAGCAAAAGCTTGCGAAGCAACACGCTATTACACAACTCCTGCAAAGGAGCTTTCAAGGATCCTAAGCAGGACCCATGTTCTGCACATGCAGCATGGGTGCCAGAAAATAGCTTCTTCCAAAAGAAGAGGAGGTGTCAATACACCTTTTTTATCTCTCTGGAAATGTTCTGGCCAAATTCTGTGCCCGGAACAAGGTCCCACAATGGGAGCTTGCTTGAGGATGTTTGCAAAAGCTGATTGCTTAAGCAGAATGTCATGGATAACTTCTCTCCTGAGAATAGTGCTTTCCCATGCCTCCGTTATTTCAAAGTATTGCCAGCTAAGGGCAGCTTGAGCAAAAACTTGTTAACATAAACATGACTCCTGCAGGACCCATGTTCTGCACATGCAGCACTGAAGCCAGAAAATTTAAGCAATGTTTTCTGAAAAACATTACTTAAATAAGGTGAAAAAACGCTTTACATATGAAATGTTTTTCCCAAAAGCATCTCTGATGCTTGGGTTCTGCTTTAGGTTTTCTCTTAAGGTGCCTGGGAGCGATACAAGCTGTGACGACGGAGATAAGAATGGATTTCCATTTCGTTGTGCTGCAGACCGGGCGTGCGATGCTGGCTGGGGGTGCAGACCGGGCGTACGAGGCTGGCTGGGGGGACGGCGGTGTGGGGCTGGCTGGGTGCGCGAGACTGGCGCGGTGGACGCTCGTGACAAGCGGAAACCGCCTCCGAGCGAGACGGGCGCGGGGGACGCTCGTGACAGGCCGAAACCGCCCCCCTCGGGACATGCGGAAACCGCCCGCGAGCGAAACTGGCGCGGTGGACGCTCGTGACAAGCGGAAACCGCCCCCGAGCGAGACGGGCGCGGGGGACGCTTGTGACAGGCCGAAACCGCCCCCGAGCGAGACGGGCGCGGGGGACGCTCGTGACAGGCCGAAACCGCCCCACAGGCCGAAACCGCCCCCGAGCGAGACGGGCGCGGGGGACGCTCGTGACAGGCCGCAACCGCCCCCGAGCGAGACGGGCGCGGTGGACGCTCGTGACAGGCGGAAACCGCCCTCGAGCGAGACTGCACGGTGGACGCTCGTGACAGGCCGAAACCGCCCCCGAGCGAGACGGGCGCGGGGGGGGGACGCTCGTGACAGGCCGAAACCGCCCCCGAGCGAGACTGGCGCGGTGGACGCTCGTGACAAGCGGAAACCGCCCCCGAGCGAGACGGGCGCGGGGGACGCTTGTGACTGGCCGAAACCGCCCCCGAGCGAGACGGGCGCGGGGGACGCTCGTGACAGGCCGAAACCGCCCCCGAGCGAGACGGGCGCGGGCTTCGCTCGTGACAGGCCGAAACCGCCCGCGAGCGAGACTGGCGCGGTGGACGCTCGTGACATGCGGAAACCGCCCGCGAGCGAGACTGGCGCGGTGGACGCTCGTGACACGCGGAAGCCGCCCGCGGGCGAGACTGGCGCGGCGGACGCCCGCGAGCGAGACTGGCGCGGTGGACGCTCCTGACATGCGGAAAACCGCCCCCGAGCGAGACTTGCGCGGGGGACGCTCGTGACATGCGGAAACCGCCCGCGAGCGAGACTGGCGCGCTGGACGCTCGTGACATTGGGAAACCGCCCGCGTGCGAGACTGGCGTGGTGGACGCTCGTCACATGGGGAAACCGCCCGCGAGCGAGACTGGCGCGGCGGACGCTCGTGACATGCGGAAACCGCCCGTGAGCGAGACTGGCGCGGTGGACGCTTGTGACATGCGGAAACAGCCCGGGAGCGAGACTGGCGCGGTGGACGCTTGTGACATGCGGAAACCGCCCGCGAGCGAGACTGGCGCGGTGGACGCTCGTGACATGCGGAAACCGCCCGCGAGCGAGACTGGCGCGGTGGATGCTCGTGACATGCGGAAACCGCCCGCGAGCGAGACTGGCGCGGTGGACGCTTGTGAGATGCGGAAACCGCCCGCGATCGAGACTGGCGCGGGGGACGCTCGTGACATTCGGAAACCGCCCGCGAGCAAGACCGGCGCGGTGGACGCTCGTGACATGCGGAAACCGCCCGCGAGCGAGACTGGCGCGGTGGACGCCCGTGACATGCGGAAACCGCCGCGAGCGAGACTGGCGCGGTGGACGCTCGTGACAGGCGGAAACCGCCCGCAGGCGAGATGGCGCGGTGGACGCTCGTGACAGGCGGAAACCGCCCGCGAGCGAGACTGGCGCGGTGGACGCTCGTGACATGTTTCCGCCCGCGAGCGAGACTGGCGCGGTGGACGCTCGTGACATGCGGAAACCGCCCGCGAGCGAGACTGGCGCGGTGGACGCTCGTGACATGCGAACAACGCCCGTGAGCGAGACTGGCGCGGTGGACGCTCGTGACATGCGGAAACCGCCCGCGAGCAAGACTGGCGCGGTGGACGCTCGTGACAGGCGGAAACCGCGGTGACCGCCAACAGTGGTTCGATGGTGAGGTAGATTCTCTCAAGCAGGAACCGGCTCGTTTGGCAGGGGGAACCACAGGTGTGCCCAGGGCAGATGAGCTAGTCCAAGCTTGGGCCCCACAGATTTTAGCGTGACCATTTCCAAGACCAGAAGCTTCTTGCGCGTGCTTGTTTGCAAGACGGGAAAGGTGTGCTTTTTGTGTCATAGTTGCGAAGTTGATTCGCTGACCCGTGTTGCCGTGGCGTTGTCGGACTTGAGTTCGCATGATGTTGGAGAACATTTACACACACTAATTCACGCTAATTGACGCTAATTGACGCTAATTGATGGTTTGGCCACGTTACGGCGCAATTAGCGAAATTTAGTGATCGATTAGTGTTCATTAGTGTCAATTAGTGTCAACTAGTGTTCAAATGTCTTGGATGTAGCCTCAGCAGTCCAGCCGTATCCTAGCCCCCTTTTGCGTGCCGGCCCTATGACTTCAGCGGTATCGCCCTCTGAAGTGGAAGCTGCCCTCAGTGCTGTGGCAGCCGAGCAGACCCAAGACGACCGCAAAAAGGCAGAGCGCAGTCTGCCTGAGCCCGGGCCAAACGTATCCATGAAACCTCGCGCCCTCAAAAAGAGTTTTGGGAGCCAGAGGAACGAAGCTCAGGAAAGCCCAGGCGCCCTCCCACAGGAGATCACCCATGCTGGTGGGAAAACCGTCTCTAAGCATCAGCTTAGTTACGCATGAATCGTGGTTGCGGAAATGGGTGTCAAGTGTGCAGGTATGGAACCCAAACTGTTTGGAAGCCTGGTTTCGACCCCACGCGCTGGTGGTCAAATACTGACATGGAGGGCTGACTGCCCAGGAAGGCTCTTGATAATATTTGATAGACCTCAGAAAACAACTCACCCACAAACGAAAATCCAGGGATGACCCCTGTGGACGCTCGTGACATGCGGAAACCGCCCGCGAGCGAGACTGGCGCGGTGGACGCTTGAATCCGCCCGCAAGCGAGACTGGCGCGGTGGACGCTCGTGACATGCGGAAACCGCCCGCGAGCGAGACTGGCGCGGTGGACGCTCGTGACATGCGGAAACCGCCCGCGAGCGAGACTGGCGCGGTGGACGCTCGTGACATGCTGAAAACGCCCGCGAGCGAGACTGGCGCGGTTCGTGACATGCGGAAACCGCCCGCAAGCGAGACTGGCGCGGTGGACGCTCGTGACATGCGGAAAGTCGCCCGCGAGCGAGACTGGCGCGGTGGACGCTCGTGACATGCGGAAATCGCCCGCGACGAGACTGGCGCGGTGGACGTTTGTCGACATGCGGAAACCGCCCGCGAGCGAGACTGGCGCGGTGGACGCTCGTGACATGCGGAAACCGCCCGCGAGCGAGACTGGCGCGGTGGACGCTCGTGACAGGCGGAATCCGCCCGCGAGCGAGACTGGCGCGGTGGACGCTCGTGACAGGCGGAAACCGCCCGCGAGCAAGACTGGCGCGGTGGATGCTCGTGACATGCGGAAACCGCCCGCGAGCGAGACTGGCGCGGTGGAAGCTCGTGACATGCGGAACCCGCCCGCGAGCGAGACTGGTGCGGTGGACGCTCGTGACATGCGGAAACCGCCTGCGAGCGAGACTGGCGCGGTGGACGCTCGTGACATGCCGGCGAGCGAGACTGGCGCAGTGGACGCTCATGACATGCGGCAACCGCCGCAAGCGCGGCTCCATGTGAACAGCTTCGGCGTTCCAGGTACGCCAAAATTGTCCTTTTTGCCGCACACCTGACCCGAACAAACGGTGCCAATGTGTTTCTAGGACGAACCCTCTCTTCAGAAGCTGTAGCCTCTTGGGGTTCGCCCTACTTATTTGGAAGCAGCCTGGAAGCACGTTGACATGAATATGCTGAGCACACTCGGCCCAAACAAAAGGGCGCATGAACATCCGAACAGCTCACCCCGGTCTACTCAGATCGTGGCAACACTGTGTCTCAGCCTTGTTTCGGACAGGCGTCAGACCCACCAAGTGACCGAGGCTTGTCCACACCGAGCCCCCCGCAAAAGCGCAGCGCCGGCCCCGTCTCAACACACCTGCGGCGAATCCACCCAACTTGCCATCCAATTGACAACGTGCGCGGCCCTTTCCACAAAGTCACCAGTTGCAATTGGTTGTGAATGGGAAAATAGGTGGAGAAACTAACGAATCCAAGCAAGCTTACGAAGCAAGTTTGTGAAGGCCACGTGCACGGCTCCATGTGAACAGCCCGGCGTTCCAGGTGCGCCAAAATTGTCTTTCGTGCCGCACACCTGACCCGAACAAATGGTGCCAATGTGTTTCTAGGACGAACCCTCTTTTTTTCAGAAGATGTAGCTTCTTGGGGTTCGCCCTACTTATTTGGAAGCAGCCTGGAAGCACGTTGACATGAATATGCTGAGCACACTCGGCCCAAACAAAAGGGCGCATGAACGTCCCAACAGCTGACCCCGGTCTACTCAGATTTTCATAACACTCTGTCTCAGACTTGTTTCAGACAGGCGTCAGACCCACCAAGTGACCGAGGCTTGTCCACACCGAGGCAGACCAAATGGATGGCGCGCTGCGAAAATGGCTCAGGAAACGGTCACTGCTTCTTCTTTGCTTGCCTCCAAGATGTTGGAGTTTCAGTCTGGGCCAAAAACAGGTCTGGGCCACAAACACGAGCTCAGATGGGTGTAGAGCCTTGCTTCCAATTTGGGAGTGGTAGTTTGTGCGGATCCATTTTCGGATTTCTGCGATTGGTTCTTCATGATGAATCAGATGACTTCGTGCCTTCCATGTAGTGCGGGGCCTGTCATGTTTCACCCGTGCCTTTGCCTTTTTCTCTGTGCTTGGTCAGAGCACAGGCTGCTGGCTGCCAATCCGGCTTGAGTCGCGGTTGCTCTCCTTCTTCATCTGTTTTGGGGTTGATTTCCCAACTGTGAACAACTTAAATCTTGGTTTGCCTTCGGACCCTTGAGCCGGAAAACAACGGGACCCACATGCCATGGGGAGTGAGGCTGGTTTGCTTTTGGGTTCCCGGGCTCCTCTTGTTTAAGACAATTATTGCTTATTTAAAGCGTTTTTCTTATTTAAGGAGTTTTGGGCTCTTTGGGAAATGCCCACACCCTGCAACTTCGATACCAGGAAGGCAAGTGCGCACGCCAGAGCCTGCCTTCCCACCATTTCCCACCTGCCTTGCTCTGCTTCAGCACTTTCTGCCATCCGACCTGCACGCACCGGAGCTGTCGCGCGTTGTGACGATCGATCGGATCCAGCACACTAGCGACGCAGCCAGCGCATCCAGCGCATGCCACGCACATCCAATGCTCGGATGAGGACGCGAAGAGGAGCACGTGGCACAAACCACTGCCCTTCAAATCCTCTTCTGAGGACGACGAACGCCAGGCGCAGCACTTTCGCAAGGTCAAGTGCAGATTTCGTGGCAGGCGCAGCACTTTCGCAAGATCAAGTACAAATTTCGTGGCAGGCGCGGCACTTTCGCAAGGTCAAGTACAGATTTCGTCACACGTGGGCAAGCTTCCCCAGGTGCCCACTGAGAAGGGGAAGAAGCGCAAGAGAGGAGGAGATGATGACGAGGACCCAGGCGAGAAGCGGGAAGCGATGATCAACATGCTGCCCAAACCCATCCAGCGCGAGCTGCGGGTCCTGCGTCTGCCGGACAACCTGTGCGGCCACTCGGCCTTCCACTTCAACAAGATCGTGCGCTACACATAGCGTGCCAGGGGCTCGGTTTGGTGGATCGACGCGGTGAACTCCTACTTCCAGCGAGCTTTGTGTGGAGGGTGAGATTATGCAGCACATCTTGCACCGGGAGGAGATCCTCGACATGGTGGCCAAGGGTTTGCATGGGAAGCGTACCGTGGCCAAGCAGCTGATCATTGCGCTCGGTTTCGGTGGAAGTCCTGGAGAGCACGAGGGATTGTAAATCTGTAATTGTGAGCCATGTCAGTCTTTCAGAATAGAATATGAACAGTGTCTCCCAGGTTGCACTCACTGCGCAATCTTTGGGGAAGGCCAGCAGCAAGAGAGATGAGCTCAATGATAGACAGAGCCCCAGGAATACACCATCATAGTTTTGCCATCGGCATGAGCCCAGAGTGGGAATGTTGCTGGTAGGTCCTCATGCTTTAAGCTGGATTCCTGCATGAGTATGGTATGCCTGGGTCATCAGGCCTAACATTGTTCCAAAACTGTAGTAGGCCACCTGGTTGGAAAATGCTCTGGAAATGCTCTGGGCTCTCCTGGAAATCCTACAAGGGTCAACATATGCAACTTCAGTGGTCTCTTCCTCACTTGTCCTGGGGTTGGAGCAAGGGCAGTCCTTGATGATAGTGGGCTCTGCAGAGACTGCCTTGCTTTCTGAAAACACCCTGGGCACATTGTTGGGGTGTTGTCCCCAGGAGCCACAGCTGGCCACCTTGGCCAGGGCAGGGTGCTTCAGCCCATCCAGAAAAGCACTGTGTGCAAGCAATGGCAGAGGTGTCACCAAAAGTCCACAGCCAAAGCAAGTGAGTCTGCAACACTGATTCTGACTTCAAGTGTCGCAGGATGATATGCGCGAGATCCTGGCAGAACTGGTAAGGATAAACCTGCGCCAGTTTCGTTCTGCTTCCGAAAGTGCCAGCATTTCCCTCGAGGGGTTGATGCTCATGTTTGGCAGAACTGGTAAAGTTCTTACACTTCTGAAAATCGGCCTCATTACCTCATTACCTCTGGAGGGAGGCAATGCGTCAAGCTGGTTGGCTTGAGGCTTCTTAGTCCGGATTCAGGATCTTTTAGTCCATATGCACAGAAATGGAAATCTCCCCAAGTCACGGATGGATTTGATAGCAGTTGCTGCATGCGGTGCAAAGTACCAAATCCGGGATGTCTGAGGATTTTCATGAAGTATCTTCCGTGCTTCAACTGATATCGCGCAATGGATGCCACAAATTCAACCATCGGGATGTAGCGCCTTTGCTTTTCCCAGACCTTGTGTTGGTCTTGTTGGATGTGCTGCATGTTCGACCATGGTCCACAGACTGGTGCCATGAGGATGACATATGACATCAGGTGCTTGCTCTCCATGACCATGTGTTGCCCCCTGGATGTCAATCCGGCGCGGGTGTCAACTTGAGTTCCAACCTTCAGACCTGTGAGTGCGCAGCAATGACTGAATCTGGCACTTCCTGCAAAGATCTCGCGAACGTGGATCTTTCCTTCACGTACACAACTCCAATGTGCTTGTTCAGGACTGGATGTCATGTCTTCCACGAACATGTTCTCTGCAGGTCAAGGTACTGCAGGATTGGGAGTTGACTTTCCTGCAATGCGTACTGGTCTTGAGGATGTTGGCTTCGGATGTGGTCTGGATGATCCTTTCTTCTGGGAATCTGCTGCGGAACTTCCTTGTTCTCTCTGCAGGGATTCCTTCTCATCTGGTCTCAGGAGTTCGATTCCAGGTTTTGCCGGAGGGGTTGTTTCATCCTTCCTGACCTTTGTCATGTTGACTTTGATGAGTCTTGTCCGTGGATCAAGTCCAACCATTGATCCTTCAAGAGAAATGACCTTTATTTCTCCTTTGCTTCCATCGGAACGGATCTTGGGTTTGTCTTCCTGCCAGTAAAGTACCTTGTCCTTCACCTGAAGAGGTTTGGAGCTCGTTCGGAAATTCTGAGCAAGGTCTCTTCGGATGTCTTCGGATTGGCGAGCTTCTTGGAACGCTTGCTTTGACAACTGCGTGATCTGGATTGCTGTCAGCTCCTCGTCGTTCCTGTCGATCGTCAATTGCGTTGGAGTTGCGACATCAAGCTGGATGAGATCTGCTGGTCGTCTTCCGAATGCAAGTTCCAATGGTGTTACACCCCCGTAGGTGACGGTTTGATTTCTGACAGTTGCAGCTGCTTTCGCAAGCTGTATGTATGTCACTTTCTTGAGTGGCGCAGGTGCTGTGCCTGCCTTGATTGCGTTGAGCGTGATCTTGAGTTGCGCCTTCAGGACTGCTGCTTCAGCTCGATTTGGCCACGGTGTGTTCGGCGAGCGAGATCGGTGTGATGTCGAGGAATTGGTTCCCATGTCTCCGTCATGAAGGCTTGATCTCCGACAACTGATTTGGGCTGCAAGTGGTGCTGGTCGAAGTAGTCACTGAGAACAGTGATGTTCTCGGATTCTTGTGTTGTTGTCACTACCTCTGCAGTGAGCAATGTCGTTGCTCCATCCAGGATGACAAAAACAATGATGTGTTCTCCAGTACCTGACAGTGATTATTGAATGTCATGTCTCCGAATGTGTCCGCTCTAAGTCCACTCGTTTTGCTTCGGATTTTGTCAAATAGGTCGTATGTTGATTTAGCAAGTGAAGCGCACGAGGTGTAAATCGAAATTGGTCTGTGTTCATGTGATGATGCTGAAGGTGGAGTTTTCGCAACTCTTCGGGCTTAGACAATCGCTGGTGGATTCTTCCTCGGGCAAGTGGAGGCGATGTTGGTTCATCTGGGGATTTTGCATCAGGATCTGGCTCAATGGTCGACCGGCCTTTCTTCCACTTTTTTCCTGACAACGTCAGCCGAGAACGTACAGCAGAAATCATTGATGCATCCAAAGGCGGAGATCCAGAAATCCGAGAAGGCAATTGGAGACTTACCTCCCAGGCGAACAAGCACATGATCAACCTGTGGAAGGGTAAGACCATTTTCACCTTCTGCAGCAGCCAGGATCATCGACACATTCCTTTGCTCCATTCTTTGTGAACAATGCCTTGCGAGGCGTGACATGCACACGGGTGAGCTGCTTGTTCTTCTTGTCGAGTATCCAATGGTCCTGCTTGAGAGACCCAATGATCTTGGGAGTTGCTGTGTCCTCCTTCGTCTCGGGTGCTTCACAAACAGTTTCACTCTTCGGATTATCCCCGGAGGGAAACTTGCTGCTGTTGTCATCATCGTAGACGTAGTTGGTGAGGCCCTTCTTGGCACACTCTCCATGGACTCTTGCCACTCCAGCAAGATCGACGAGGCGTGTCCTGTACCGGATACTGGAACTGCTTCATGGTCCATGTCAAAGGCCTTGCAGGTGATCTTGTCAGACGCACTGTGCCTTGTTCAAGGATGCCGATGTTGGTGCTGGCTGGAGGTGTCGTATGATACCTGAGGCGCAAGGTCCAGTTGACGTTGGCTGTCTTTCCATTGGCAAATGTGCACTCTTGGTCTCGGCCGGGATGAGGTCTTTCATGGGTTCGATGGCCTGAGTAAAGCGCTGGATTGCATGCCACCTGCCCATGGATCTGGTACATCCGTTGTCCACGATCGCATACGTCGGATTGTGCTGCGGGTTGATGACAGGCGCCAGCAGCTTTGTGGCCAAAAGGCTCTGATTGGCTGTCACTGTGCTCTGAAACTGTATCGGATTGGATCAGCTTCTCTTGGATGGCTTCTTTCTCAATCATCCCTTGTCCTGCGCTGGATGTCTCATGGGATGAGTACCAGCCATGTGACTGAAACCGGCATATGTAGGGTTTGTGGATGGTGCAGCCTGCTGGATGGCGGGCTGCTCCTCCGTTTTCTCTCCTGTGGCTGCGAACGTTTTGGACTTTCTTTTGTCATGTCCGCCTTTTCCTTTGCCATTGTCATAGGATGGATAACCTTTGGTTCCATCATAGGAATATCGGGATTTTCCTTTCTTCCCTTTCTTTCCTTTGCCTTTTCCCCAATATGCCTGGTTGTAGGGATCATGATTTTTGTTGGCCATATTGGCCTTCCCGCCGGAGCCGCGCTGGGTTTTCCCTTTTCCCTTTCTTTTCTCCAGTCTGAAATTCCGCCAAGACACTCTTCTTGCTCCTGAAGGTCGGATGGATGGATCTTGGATGAATGTTCTTGTCGTGATGAAGAGCTCGTGGTACTGTGTCTTCAGCATCTCATAGGAGTAGTTGTCGAGCGTGATGTTCTTCAAAGACATTGCGCTGATCAGTCGTTCTCTCTCTGCTGATCCGAAAATTCACTCTGGATTATGAAAAATTGTGCTATGAGATTATCAGTGAAGGGAAATGCTTCCTTCCGTCTTCGCTGCATACCTGTACTGTATTGCCTGAGGACTTGTGGATCGTCCTCCTGTAGCAGCTGTGGAGGCGGTGCTCTGGCACCAACTGCTTGTTGTTGCTGAGCATTCCTTCTGTTGTTTACTTCCTGCACGGAAGCTCTGAACTCTGGCGACTGTGCCGTGTATGTTGGCATCATGTCCATCCAGGCTGCCTTCAATCTTTTGAGAATGATGTCAAATTTGGATGTGAAAATGAGGAACTCGAGGTTGTTTCTTCGGCGATTGAAAAAGCTGACAAGTCTGTACAGGTACACGTTGGTTGAGCCCTTGAGAAAGTACTGCTTGAGCGTGTTCTTGAAGTAGTTCACACCTTCTGCAGGATCTTGAAGCAATGCGTTGTCGAGTACATGAATGCATCTCCAGCGAGCCTGCTTTTGAGGAGAGGTCCTTGCTTGGATGCTTCGATTGTCATGAAGGTTGTCCAATCATCGACGAGTTCTTCATATCTAAACCAGCTGACTTTTCCGTCGTACGATGGCGGCTGCTTGGCGGTCATCGATACATTCAGTGTCTCTTCCGTAAAGCCGGATGATCTGGCATTACTGGAATAGGCCTCCATGAGACCTTCTCCATCGGATGACATGTTTTGGATTTTGCGGAAAACCTGCTCCGCTACCACAAGTGTATCCCACTGCCGGGGGTACTTTATCCCAGGAGGGAACAACTACCTTGTGGTAGAAGAGGATTTTGTTGTGGTCCCTGGATCTTTTTCGCGGGTTCCAAGTGTCAATGCTGATGGATTGAGATTGGATTAGCCCTGGTGGTTTGTGGATCGGATTACACTGTAAGCGGTCCGGCGAAGGCTATATACATCTGCGGTGAAATGAGCAAAGAAAAAGGCCTTGAGCCATAGCGGTTGCTCGGAAATCAATCGGTCAACAAAAAGCACACACACACACTTTTCTGAAGAGTCCGAGGCAGCTGAACGTTGAGGGAGCCGTTGAACAAGACACAAATCTTCAAGCCGAGGAAAAAGAAATCAAAGCTATATACACGGAATGGTTCAAGTCATGCAGGTACATGGAGATGGCCGGTCTCCACATCCCACTGCGCTACCCAGCTTCGTTGGTCAGGGTAAGTAGCGCAGTGCACTGAAATCCAGTGGAAGTGACTCCCTTCCGCCGTGCAATAGGCGGGTTCACACACACACAACCGCCCAATGGGCCAACAGGCGGGAAAAGAAACCGGTGGCGTGTGAAACGTGGATGCAAGCTCACTCCTGCTTCTTGACCTTGGCGTAGGGCTTCGCGTTGCCTTTGATGAGGTCCCAGCGTTTGCGGGCGTCTTCTTCGGTGATTTCCAGGGCGAACATGAGGTGGAGTTTCAGTGCGATTGCTTTGTAGGCCGGCCTGGCAGACTTGAGCTTGCGCAAGGCGTTGTCCATATCGTCAGTCCACTGCAAGGGTGTCGTCGATGCCGGTGAACAAGGTGGCAGCGGTGGCGGAGGCGACGATGGAGGGGGACCGGGAGGTGTGGATGGAGCCGGTACGATTTGCGTCGAGTGTGCTGTATGCGCGGTTTTGCCGTCGAAGATGAAGAAGATGAGGGGGAAGATGGCGACTTTGCGGGTGATGCCGGTGATGCCGGTGATGCCGGTGATGCCGGTGACGCCGGTGATGCCGGCGACGGTCCATCCGGTGGAGCGGTAGGTGGTGACGGTGATCGGTATTGGCGGAGAATATGGAGCGATGGCGTGTGTTTGGCAGACGCCTGCATAATGTGGATCCTGCATTGGCCATGTAGTTGGGTCCAGAGAACTTCGGCGCGGTAGGCGTGATAGATGAGGTCAAGGTAGAATCGACATTGTTCGCGAGCACGCCGTCGGGGTGGGCCAACGAAGGTGGGGAAGAGCGCGATGATGCGGTGCTCGCCTTGGGTCTCGTGGACGCTCTGGCATTCGATGGTGTAGAATGGTGGGGTAGAGCGGCATTTCGATTGCGACGAGCAGAGAGTACAAGCCAGTCGTCGAGGTCGACGGACGGGCCTCTTGAGGGTGAGCGGGATCGAGTTGTCTCAGCCGGAACGGGGTTGTGTTCCAGCTCCGCTCGTTCAAGGCTTGGGGGTATTCCTGGGTCAGCTCGATGAGACAGGCGGAGTCCTCATGGATCCGCTTCAGCAATTTGAGTAGCATCTCGTAAGCAACAAGGTCACGGAGGTGAATGAGTTGCTCAAGCCCGATCGGATGTCGGCCACGCACGTGGTCTGAGTGTGGTGTCATGAGCAACGAGACATGGAAGATGGCATGACGTGTCCGTGAGACCATGGCATGAGCCCATGACATGACATGTCGGCACGAACCACATGACAAGAATGAAGTACATGCATGACAAGACGACAGGGAACAAGAAACACGAATGGGAGACACGGAAAAGGGCTGTGCCATGGCCCAAGTCGTGCGTGGTGGGTGGCTGGGCGCAGTCTTTTTCTTGGTCAGCGGAGGCGGGCCTCCTGCCACATTTCAGTCAGCAATCGAATGGCTTTTTGGCGTTCGTTGAGAGGAAAAGCACATCGCTTCACAATATTGAGCCGCGCAGTAAAGGAGCTGCGGATAACCGTGGGTGGTGATGCCGACAAGGGGTGCAGGAATTGCGCTGCTGAGGACGGGGGAACGAATTGTATAGACCGCTTGTTAACATGGACAAATCCCAGAAAATCTTGGCCCGGCTCGTTGACGAGAATAGCGGGCTGGACATAGAAAGCAGGGTGAAGGAAATTGCGAATGGCCAGTTGGTCAACAAATCGCCGAGGAAGAATGGTGAGCCTGTTGTCGACATAGCGGCACCGGTGCCATAGATGCTGTACATTGAATAGCATGCAAGAAAAAGTGTCATACCAAAAGCTGTACAGTCATCAAACAGAGTGCTGGACTGGCGGGGTTGGTTATGGGTGAACCCCGAGACGAAAGTATCGTAGTTGCAGGACTGCTTGAAGAATAAGTGGTAGGTCCGTGCATCGAATAGAATGTTGATGAACCGCAGCCTTTCTGTACCGGCCCCGAAAAATCCGTAACGCTTGCTTTTCGCGTAGGTTAACAGTGAAGTGCTCTGCGTGTTGAGGATTGGCATTGCAGTGTCTGCTCCAGAGAATATTCCAGGGAGCGAGGAAACGATCACCATCTACCGATGTAAAGAATCCCTCCAGGTCCTGGTTGTAGAAGCAAGATAGCTCGTCACGGCCGTTGTCACGGAAAAAGCGCTGGGCGCGATGATGGTGTGTAACTCGGGATCTATAGGTGTAAGCGCGTTGCATCGGAGGCGAGGTGACCCCGGAAGAAGGCGTCGGAAGGTAGGTGTCAATTGTGCGCATACGCAAGACTGCACAAAGTCTTGGTTGGCGAGGGTCGTTTTTCCACTGTTCAATAAAACGGCGATGGTTGAAGAGGAGGTCCTCGACGTGGGAGTTCTTGACGAAGACCACCTTGAACGAAGGAATGCAATGAAAGTCCGCCGCGTCGCGTACCTGGGTGAAGATGTCCTTGAGGTTGTCGATAACATCACGTCGAAAATGATCATGAGCAAGGAAAGAAAGGAGGCGCGGGAACGAATTGCCAGGTATTGTACGTAGTCGATGCGAAAATGTTGCGTAAATGTGATAAAGCTACATTTGCATGAATCTGGGGTAAGTTCTGGGCGAGCTTCCAGAGTACGGGTAGAGCTGCGGCGGGAAAATTCCAGTGTCGTAGACGTTTTTGAGTTTCAGATGAGCGTCTCGTATTGCTTGCAAGGTCAGAAAGTAGTTGCCATAGGTGCTTCTTTGGACTGAAAAGATGGTAGGTGATGTAGTTGGCGGAACTTGATGGGGAGCCAACGGCTGCGCAACTTCTTGAAAAGAGAGCCCATTCCCCATTGCTGGCGTTCCCGAATCCTGGGGAGGTGTAAAATGCCTCCACCGCGAAATGAATGGAAAGTTCAGCGCAGGTTGGACCAATTGTATGTAGGTGTGCTCCGTGGCAAGGAGGTGATGGGAGTCGGTCACGTGGTGGATGGGAACGATACAGAACTGGTGTATGGCATCATTCGCGGCCCACCAGCGGACGGCTAAATCGGCTTGGCAATTGTCGCGTTGTAGTTGTAGGCCTTTCCTCACACGTGAATGTTCTCGTTCGGCAACTGACCGAGTGGTGCTGCCGATGTACAGCAGGCTCGTCCATGTGGCCAGGTGCGAACATTTTAAGTATACTGCATTGGTATTGGAGAATTCCTCGAATGACATTGTAAGTGGCTAAATGGAAAGCTGGCTGAAGAGGTCAATCAAAGTCGAGCAGCGGGAGCGGAAAATTGAGTATATCGCAGACGTCACAAGGCGTGCACATGTCTGGACCCATAAATGTGAAGCGAAGATGCGTTGGTCGAAGTGCGTCGAGAAAGGTAGTAAAAAGGTAAGGAGGTCAAAGAAGGTGTGAAAGAGTCGTAGTGCCGTGCTCTCATTGACTGAAGTCAGTTACTGAACATGAAGGCGACGGCGAGGAGCTTGTGAGTGACGGCGGCCTGCGTCTTGCCCAAGCTCTTGGTGGGGAAGCCCCAAAGTAGAGGTGTCCTGCTCGTCAAGGTTCTGTGCCCAGTCGTCAACCTGCTGAATCCATGCTTGGAGTTCCTTGCGCTTGGCGGGAGCGATCTTCAGGTTCTTCACAAATGCTTAGAATTGAGTCTTGTTGACGGCGCCGTTGTAGTTCTTGACCACCCATGCTGAACGGATGGAGTAGGTGGTGCAGTAGGCGCCGGTGCCTGTGGTGGGTTGGAGTTGCCCTTGAGCATGGCGGCGACGGCTGGTTGTGGCGGTCCTGAAGACGATGACGGAGGCAGGTTGGATGAGGGAGCAGGGGCGGCATTGTCATCCTTAGGCTGTTGTCGGGCAAGGTGTTGCTTAATCTGACCGGTCCCCTAAACCGTTTTTGGCTTCGCAGTTGAGTACAGACCGTGCTTCCGTTATTACAGATTTGAGAGTCAGCCAGTATGGCTTCCCGTGTGTGTGTGTGGAACTCTGTCATCAAGTTTATGCTTGCAGCTGCTTAGTAAGAATGAGAGCCTTGTTCCAGCAGGGGAGCAGCTGGCAATCCATACCTAAGAACAAGAATGGACAGGAGCGTGCCATCAAGCTGCAGACGGTGAAAGCTGCAGCAAAAAGCTGCAACAGAGCGACAAAAACGGAACGAGGCACTTTGTTGTGGGATGTGCCTGGGCTCGGCGTAGCAACTGGCAATCTTTAAGGGGTGTGCCTGGGCTCGGTGTAGCAGCTGGCAATCTCTGCATTAACAAATATATAAATGAGTTTCTTGTGAGGATGATTGGCGGGGGGCCAAGCCAAGAACCCCACAGTGGCGACAGGTCAGAGAAAGAAAGAGAAGAAGAACTCGATCTTGTATCTTTGAGTCGGATGCTCTTGGGCCCTGTGTGGCAGCTGGGGGCCCGCAGTACCGTATTGCACGGGGATGTGCCTGGGCTCGGTGTTGCATCTGGCGATCCCTTGCGTATATGAAAAGTGTGGCTGAGTGGCGAGGGGCTGAGCATACCTTTGTTGGCTCTCGCCAGTATGGCTTCCTGTGTGTGTGTGGAACTCTGTTACCAAGAGTGTTTCGAAATTGCAGGGGGTGCCAGGGATGCATGCTGGACGGACACCAACGAAGACGCCAGCATAGCATCTGTGAAGCAAGTTGGGACGCCAACTTGTGTACCTGCATATGCAATATTGTGCGTCGTGATGTTTAGTTGCTGTGCATCGTCATTGGTTGTATTGCATCTAAAAAACATCCTCATGAAGGGTCATGCTCTGGATCCTGATTACACTCAGCCTGGCTGAGTACAGATCTTGATCCAGATTTTGAGATTATGGCTGTGGATGGCTGCACAAGTGTGTGTGTGTGTGTAATGCCGAGTTTGGGACGGACTCTAGGGGTGATTTAACCGAACACAAAATAAACAAAATTTGCAAATCAACATCAGAATTTGGCCTCAATTTGGCCACAAAGGGGTACGTGTGTAAGTGCCAAGGTGGGGTGCGTGTAATGCCGATTTTGGGACGGATTCCTCATTTGCGGTTGCGCGACGGCGGCACCAGGATTGCGCCAGCAGATGCCAAGAACGAGCAAACAACAAACAACAAACGCAAATCAACATTAAAATCTGGCCCCAAACCTGTCCCCAAAAATCTGGAATCCCCCCGCCCCGAGAGGGGGGGGGGGCGCACAAACGAACCCCCCCGGCGGAGGGGATTTCGGGGAGGCACACATCCTCACACGCCTTCTGATCCCCAAGGGGGTCACGGACTTACAGTGTTGTTGCAGGGGTATCAACAACAAAAAGGAACACATTGGGATACATACCCGGAGCACCGCTTCGCGGGTCATCTTGGGAGTCTGAATGGTGACCACATTTGCACGCACGTTTTGCCGCCCCCCCCAAAGCAAACATGACACAGCAACATGGGAATCAATAGGGCTTTGTCGAGGGAGTACCGCATACCAATAAACATCCTGCTGCGGCATTCAAGCTTGCAAGTTTGAGGTGCAGTTGAAACGAATGAAGGTGTCTTGGAAAATTGTCTGGATGAACATGCTGATAAGAGGGACAATTGGGCCGCTCTGAGCATGAATGCAATTCGGAGGAGATGCTGATTTAGGTCTTTGTCTTGGGCCTAGTGTTTCGATTCTTTTTTGATTGTTCTTGCGAGGTGTGTCACCCGAATCCGAATCGCAGTTGACTTAACTTGAACTCCTACTGCGGCTCCGCCACTACTTTCCCGTAGCCTTTTTAAGTTCAATTCTGTGCGCCTTTGATTCATGATGGCGGGCAGCAGGAGTCTTGTGACCATCGCTGCATTGGTGTTTTTTTCCAAGAATATGATGCGAGTGCAATCACGGTCACGGATGTGCAGTGGAAGGCAGGACTGATAGCTGCAGGTCGTCAAAGTTGGCTGATTGCGAAGATGCAACTTGAGTTTCTGATGATTGCCAAGGGTGTGAATGTGTCGAAAAGCAAGGCAAACATGGAGGAAA